AGTTCTCTGTTACATTTATCCTCTGTAACACCTGTCCTCTGTTATATCTGTTCTCTGTAACACCTGTTCACTGTTACATTTATCCTCTGTAACACCTGTCCTCTGTAACACCTGTCCTCTGTAACATCTGTTCTCTGTAACATCTGTCCTCTGTAGCATCTGTCCTCTGTAACACCTGTCCTCTGTTACATTTGTCCTCTGTAACACCTGTCCTCTGTAACACCTGTCTTCTGTAACATCTGTTCTCTGTAACACCTGTCCTCTTTAACATCTGTCCTCTGTAACACCTGTCCTCTGTTACATTTGTCCTCTGTAACACCTGTCCTCTGTAACATCTGTCCTCTGTAACACCTGTCCTCTTTAACATCTGTTCTCTGCAACACCGTCCTCTGTAACATCTGTCCTCTGTAACACCTGTCCTCTGTTACATTTGTCCTCTGTAACACCTGTTCTCTGTAACACCTGTCCTCTGTAAAACCTGTACTCTGTAAAATCTGTCCTCTGTAACACCTGTCCTCTGTAACATCTGTCCTCTGTAACACCTGTCCTCTGTAACATCTGTCCTCTGTAATACCTGTCCTCTGTAACACCTGTCCTCTTTAACATCTGTTCTCTGTAACACCTGTCCTCTGTAACATCTGTCCTCTGTAACACCTGTCTGTAACACCTGTCCTCTTTAACATCTGTTCTCTGTAACACCTGTCCTCTGTAACATCTGTCCTCTGTAACACCTGTTCTCTGTAACACCTGTCCTCTGTTACATTTGTCCTCTTTAACACCTGTTCTCTGTAACACCTGTCCTCTGTAAAACCTGTCCTCTGTAACACCTGTCCTCTGTAACACCTGTCCTCTGTAAAATCTGTCCTCTGTAACACCTGTCCTCTGTTACATTTGTCTTCTGTAACACCTGTTCTCTGTAACACCTGTCCTCTGTAAAATCTGTCCTCTGTAACACCTGTTCTCTGTAACACCTGTCCTCTGTAACACCTGTTCTCTGTAACACCTGTCCTCTGTAAAACCTGTCCTCTGTAAAATCTGTCCTCTGTAACACCTGTCCTCTGTTACATTTGTCCTCTGTAACACCTGTTCTCTGTAACACCTGTTCTCTGTAAAACCTGTTCTCTGTTACACCTGTCCTCTGTAACACCTGTCCTCTGAAAAACCTGTCCTCTGTAAAACATGTCCTCTGTAACACCTGTTCTCTGTAACACCTGTTCTCTTTAACACCTGTCCTCTGTAACACCTGTCCTCTGTAACACCTGTTCTCTATAACACCTGTCCTCTGTAACACCTGTTCACTGTAACACCTGTTCTCTGTAACACCTGTCCTCTGTAACACCTGTCCTCTGCAACACCTGTTCTCTGTAACACCTGTCCTCTGTAACACCTGTCCTCTGCAACACCTGTTCTCTGTAACACCTGTCCTCTGTAACACCTGTTCTCTGTTACATTTATCCTCTGTAACACCTGTTCTCTGTAACACTTGTTCTCTTTTACATTTATCCTCTGTAACACCTGTTCTCTGTTACATTTATCCTCTGTAACA